CCAGCTACTACATGGGAGACCTAGACGGCTTTAGTTATTCATGAGTCACCATGCCCTCATCTGTAATGGGGTAACCATGATAGCTACTTCCATATAGTGGAGAATAAATGAATTTGAATGTGAAGTGATCCAATTGTCTTTAATCTGAGTTCTCAACATATCAAATATTCCATTTTTTTATTGAGTACTCATGTGACTCTGCAATCTCCAAGTAGAGATTTGTCTCCCGGGTGCTTATTGTATGCAAGCGCTAGTCCCGCTGGCTCCCTTCGCGACTAGCTCTGCTGTGGATTCTAGCTGCAGCGTCAATAGGAACACTGATACTAACTCTAAGTTGATAGGTGCTTTAATGCTGGTTTTACTACTAATAGCAGGGGTTGGCTAACAGTATGTTAATTCTTGTTTTATAATCTAGTTCTTTTTATTTTATGTGCATTGGTGTTTTCCCTGCATGTATGTCTGAGTGTGGGCATCAGATCTTGGAGTTATAGACAATTGTGAGCTGCCATGTAGGTGCTGAGAATTGAACCTGGGTCCTCTGGAAGAGCAGTCTGTGCTCTTAACTGCTGAACCATCTCTCCAGCCCCCACTATTTTAATTCTAAACTAAGATTTATTTATTTATTTATTTATTTATTTATTTATTTATTTATCTATCTATCTTTTGGGGTTTTTTGTTTTTGTTTTTGTTTTTCGAGACAGGGTTTCTCTGTAGCTTTGGTGCCTGTCCTGGAACTAGCTCTGTAGACCAGGCTGGTCTCGAACACACACACAGAGATCCGCCTGCCTTTGCCTCCCAGTGCTGGGATTAAAGGTGTGCGCCACCACTGCCAGCCGACTATTATTTTTGTAGTACTAGGGATGGAGCCTAATGCATCTCTCATGTTAGGCAAGAGCTTTGCAACTAAACCATACCCACAGCCTTAAAACTAATTATTATCCATTCCAGTTCTAAGAACAACCTCCAGTTCTCACCCCCATCCTATGCTGGGAATATAACTGAGGGCCTTTCATACACTGGGCATGTGCTTAGCCAACCGCTACATCCCCAGCACCCGATTCAGCTAGAACTTTTACCAGCAGGAACATAGCAATAAACAGACCACCAGGAGCAGCAAGCATTGGTTGGCAGAACGCATGTACTGTGCTAAGTACTTTTCCTGGATAATTCTATTGCAGTCTTTGTGGTATATCACCACTCTTGCCTGCCAGACTGCAGTGGGGACACAGAAATGACACTTTCCAAGGCCTCTGGTACTTGTCTCAACTCTCACACTGACTGACTGCCTAATTTCTGGGCAAGTCATCCTCTGGGCTTGAGTTGCCTCTCCTGGAAAATGGTTATGGTTGCAGACTTTCCTTTCCCCACACCAAATGTCAGTAGTCTGCATGGCGCCTGCCTGGTACTCCACAAACGGTATGCTACGTAAACAATCATTCTCATCATTATTTAGTATTGTTATTTGCTGGGGTGAGGTCTATGGGGAAGCCTCATTGGGAGGGCAAGGCTAGAGGCATGTCCCATAAAATGGTGTGGTGCTCGGCACACATCCCATTTCTTCATTCCTGGAGGTGACAAAGGGCTCAGTAAAGGAAATGAAGGGTGGGGAGTAGGGTGCCTCTGAGGCCAGGCCTCACCCCATTCCCTCCCCCATCCCTGTGGAGGGGGTGCAGGCCCAGAAGTCTGTGGCCACAGTTCAGCCAGCAGGGAGGCAGCTGGGAAGGCATAGATAAGGGAATCAGCGGGGGCCAGGCTAGGCTTGGGGGAGCCCAGTGCGGGCGGGGGTGGGGTGTCCGGGCTGAAGCGACTTCTCTGTCAGGCTTCCATTTGAGACCCATGCCAATGTCCTCTCTTCCTGGAATCATTCCTTGATGGTTCCCTCTCCCTTCTGGCATCTTTTCAGGTTCTGGAGCCTCTGTTTGACTCAAGCCATAGCACTAAGGCTATCTGGGTCTCTTTGAGACTGGAGTTCACTGGAGGAGTGGTACAGAATAGGACTCACTTCGGTAGCGCTACCACAGAAAGAAGCAACCAAAACCTGACTAAGGAGTCATGTGTTTGACTCCAGAGTAAAACTGTTGGTTATTATCTCAAGAATTATTTTTAATCGGGACGTAACGATTATATATATTTATGGCACAGCACGGTCATTTGATACACGCACATAATGCACGACGGTTGAATTGGGTGATTAGCATATCCACACTTCTTTAAACACCAAGCACCTATGGTTTCTTAGAAGGGGAAAAAGTTGATTACATAGAAGGACTAGAATGAAGGTCATTAGAGGCTGGGAAGGGAAGGTTGAGTATGTCTAATGCCTTACAGCCCAGTAGAGTGGCTGGTTTGCAACAGCCAATTAAATGTAGTATTTGTTGTCATTATTTAATGATAAAGAAAATAACACAGAGAAGGACCTCCGGGGTGGCAAATGCAATCTCTGTACTCAGGTTGAAGGCAGGAGTATCAGAAGTTCGAGGTCATTTTTAGCTACATAGTGAGTTTGAGAGCAGCCTTGAATATATAAAATTTTGTTTAAAACAAAAAAAAATAGTGGGGACCTGGGTTCAATTCCCAGCACCCACACAGGGGCTCACAAACAACTGTAACCCCCCTTCCAGGGGATCTGATGCCTATGTCTCACCTTTGTAGGCACCACGTGTTACATACACAGGCAAAGCACTCATACACATGAAAATAAATCTTATTTAAAATGGCCATAGCCAGGTGATGGTGGCGCACGCCTTTAATCCCAGCACTCGGGAGGCAGAGGCAGGCCGATCTCTGTGAGTTCGAGACCAGCCTGGTCTACAGAGCTAGTTCCAGGACAGGCTCCAAAGCCACAGAGAAACCCTGTCTCGAAAAACCAAAAAAAAAAAAAAAAAAACACAGAAGCAAAGGGAAGAAAATTTGGTTACTGCACAGAATTAATGTTCACATAATTCTGACAGCTTATCAAATCACCTTGCCAAACAGACTAGAGCCAAGATAGTAAGTCAGTCATGTGTCAGTGGTGGGCAGTACCACATCTTTGACCAGAACTGCTTAGTTATATATACTCCTGCATTCTGTTTAAACCCAAACCTTTCAGGACCCTGGAAAACAGACTTGGGGGCGGGTAGAAGACTTGGGGATAGAGGATGGAGAGGAGATAAGGTCACTAGGCTGCCTTATTCTTTTACCAACGTGGCCATTTTGAATAAATCACCCTGTCCCTCTAGTTGACACATTGAAGATGGTGGACTGAACCTGGTTTTTTTGGGCTGCCTGGGCCTAAGCTCTGACCCTGATAATTATGGGTATTTTATTTATTTTAGATTTTTAAATGTGTATGTGTGTGTGCATGTATGTATGTATGTATGTGTACCCTGTGCATACAGGGGCTAGAAGAGGGTGTTGGATCCCCTAATATTGGAATTACAGCCAGTTGTGAGCCACCTGAAGTGGATGCTGGCAACTGAACTTTGGTTTTCCACTAAAGTAGCAAGTAAGTGCCTTAACCACTGAGCCATTTCTTTAGCCCCAGGTCTTTATTTTCAATATGCATTTTTGCATCACAAGCCTCCTCTATTCCCTACCTCCAATCTTTGCTAAATTACCAAGTGAAGAAGTACAGAATGTAATACCAATACTGCTTGACACTTGACAATCTCAATCCTGTCCCGCACTCAAAAGGTTGTCTTCCAGTGAATTTTTATTCAGGCAAGAATAAAAATTGAGAAAGAGACATCATTGAAAGAATTTCAAATTAGGTATATGTCTGTTAGTCAAAACTTCTTAGTTAGAAATAACTTTGGGAACCGGGGTTCTTCCATCCTTACATTGAAGTGTTTTCAAGAGGGACTACCATTAAGATCAAGAAAGAAGTAAAACAAAAGATAGACAGAGACATTTTTTGTATTACCATTGTCTGTCTAGTCTAAGTCATTTTTCTGTTTTGAGACAAGGTCTTGTAACACAGACAGACTTGAAATTTGCTCTTCAGCCAAGGTTGGCTTTGAACTCCTGATGCTTCTGCCTGCACTTCCCAGATGCTAGAATTAGAGGTCTACCCTACCCACCATACCTGACACAAATTACCTTTTATAGCAAGTTAGTACAATTCATTTTCCCAAACATTTTTCTTCCTTCCTTCCTTTTTTTGTTTTTTGTTTTTTTTTTTTCAAGACAGGGTTTCTGTGTAACAGCACAGCTGTCCTGGAACTCGCTCTGTAGACCAGGCTGGCCTCGAACCCAGAGATCTGCCTGCCTCTGCCTCCCAAGAGCTGGGATTAAAGTTATGGTCCACCATACAAGGTTCCAAAACATTTTCTAAACTAGAAAAGTACAAAAAAATACATTAAAATAGCTGTTACTAGGCACGGGGCGGGGTGTCCTTCCAACTTAATGGCAATTAGAATGAAGTGGAGCCAGAGAAAGGGGCACTTCAAGCAAATATGAATTTCACAAGGCAGGGGGCACAGGTTGAGGAAACAGGAATGGCGAGGGAGCAGTGCTGAGTGAGAACTAGGCCAGTTCCGTAAACAAAGAGTCTGTCTTTTACGCCACCCCAGCAAGATAGCATTGTAGCCCAAGTGTAGCTGGAACTCCCTATGCCCTTGATAACCACGAACTCAGTCCTGCCCAGTACTCCCAAGTGTTGGGATTAGAGGCATGATTGACACATTTTCCCCTTTTTTTTTTTTTTTTTTTTTGAGGCAGATCTCTTCACACGGTACAGGCTGGCTCTGAACTGAAAATCTTCTTGCCACACCCTCCTTCCTGTTGGAGATTCAGGCCTATGTCACCACGCCAAACACCCTCTTTTTTCTCGTTCAGGGTTTACTAGAAGGTTGGGGGTCTACTTGTTTTTCATTAGCTATGGGTACCCTTCTTTTTTCCCTTTCTTTCTTTCTTTCTTTCTTTCTTTCTTTCTTTCTTTCTTTCTTTCTTTCTTTTCTTCTTTTCTTTTCTTTTTGAGACAGGGTCTTGCCATGTAGCCCTGGTAACATGGAACTTACCTCAGATATTGGGTTGTCCTAGAACTTGCAATGATCCTCCTGCCTCTGCCTCCTGAGCGCAAGGATTACAGTTGTTCGACTCTATATTCAATCTTGAAAGATGTTTTCTCTGCATAAGCGTTTTTGGTCCTGAAGGAGTGGGCTGTTTTCCCAGGAGCTGCTGCATTCCTGATTTGAACGGTCTGGCCTTGTGATAAGGGTGGCCCGAGATAACTGTTTAAAAAACCACGTGAAAAAGTGTAGCAGAGAACACACACTTTTCAAAAAACTAATAACAAGTTCAAAGAGCCCAGTTTGTTATGGGGAAAGTATGTGTGACCGTTTCATACACAGTGTGGTCTACACTGGCCTCAGATTTGCTCTGTAGCTGAGATGACTGAATTCCTGATTCTCTTGGGTCAATTTTCAGAGTTCGAGGATTGCAGTCTTGTACAACCATGCCTGGTTTTTATGCAGTTCTGAATACTGACTCCAGCCCCCTTTTTACTTTATTTATTTATTTTTTTTAACTTTTTACTTTATTTTTGGTGTTTTTGAGACAGGATTTCACTGTGTGGCCCTGGCTGTCCTGGAATTCAAGCTGTAAACAAGGCTGGTCTTGAAGTCAGAGACCCACCTGCCTCTGCCTCCTGTAGGGACTAAAGGTGCACAGGCCGCAGCCGCCTCCACTCAGAAAGTATAAACTTTCACAGATTTTATTTTATGTGTGTTTCGTGTTGATTCTTGGTCCGTGGTATTAGTGTGGAGGCTGGAGGACAGCTTCCAGGAATTGGACCTGGGGCTTGAATTCTGGTAGTCAGGCTTGGTGGGAGGTGCCTTTACTGGCTGAGCTAACTCACTAGCCCTCATTATTAAAGCTGTTATACTGAGGACTAGAGACAGGGCTCAGCAATTAAGAGCACCTACAGCTCTTGCAGAGGAGTTGCGTTTGGTTCCCAGCATCCACTTGATGCCTCATAACCATCAGTAACCCCAGATCCAGGGAGTCCTGTACCCTCTTCGATATATACTCTCTTCTGATCTCCATGGGCACTAGAGGAGCGTGTGGTGCCCAGACATATATGCAGGTGATACACCCCCACACATAAGATAAATATAAAAATGTGTTTCAAAACCCTTTTACACCAAGCTGGTAGCACACACCCATATATTCACCCCAGGGCAAATTATTTACTCTTCTAATTGCCCTTGCAGCACCTCCCCCCCAAGGTCACACCCCAGATAAATATGGACACAGGAACACATTCCTCTACTCAAGAGCTTCGGTTTTTTTTTTTTTTTCTCGATCCCACATGACAAAAGTGGTGTGGAACAGACCTGAGAAAAATGTCAGTCTTTCACAAACTTCTTTCTTGGCATAGAAGGGGGACACAGAAAGACAGCAAAGCTGGGGACTAAACCTGTGACTTTGGCATGCCAGCATTCTACCACTGAGCAATGTCCCCAGCATCTGCTGGGCCATTATGTCTCACCAGTGGCTTGGGGTAGCACAGAAAGACAGGTTCCATGCAAGCCCCACAGGTTACTCTTTTTTTTTTTTTTTTTTTTTTTTTTTTTTTTTTCGAGACAGGGTTTCTCTGTGGCTTTGGTGCCTGTCCTGGAACTAGCTCTGTAGACCAGGCTGGTCTCGAACTCACAGAGATCAGCCTGCCTCTGCCTCCCGAGTGCTGGGATTAAAGGTGTGCGCCACCACTGCCCGGCCCACAGGTTACTCTTTTGGCAGCAATCAGTCGTTTTGCACCATTCAAAGGTTACAGAGGAAGCGCCCCATGGTACCAATGTGTGGATAGTGACAGATCTTTGCTTGGGGCTTCTGGATAAAAGCAAAGCAAGTGTTCTGGAAGTTGAGATCAGGAAGGCAACTTCTAGAAACAAGTAGATTCCCAAGAGCCCATGAAAAGCACTTAAATTTCTGATTTTCAGGAATCATCCTGGGGCCTCTTTCTTGGCCAGCTTCTTTTTCTGAACTATAGGAGAGGTATATGTTGATCACCGACCAAGCTGGAGGTGGGGTACAAGGAGATCCAAGAGAACACCACTAGAAGTAGTCAATTCAACCCAAGATCAATAGTCAGAGGTCAAGAAAGGCAGGTTTCTTGCTCTGGCAATTAAAGTTGAAAGCCAAAGACAAAAGCCAATAGGAAGGCACAGATCAGGAAAGGGAGGGCAAAGAAAGTGGCATCTTGGGTCTCATACCAACAGAGCCCCTTCTTGGTCCAGTCCTCCTGCTTTTTGCCAAGGGCCTCCCTCCTCCGTCCCTCCCAGAGTGTTCTCTGTAGTGCTCCAGGTGGGAGGCTTCAAAGGCAAACAGGGTGAGGAGGATACCAGAAGAGACTCGAGAGCCATTGTGAGCCTGAGGGGTATATGGAGAAGGACACCGGTCCACACAGGGCCTGGTTGCCGAGCAGCCCTTGTCCTACTTGATGGTATTACTCAGAACCACATAAGAACGACCTTCGGAGAGGCCAGTGAAGCGCTCAGCGGCTTCCGGGTAGCACACACCTTTAATGACAGTGGAGGTGGAGGCAGATGGCTCCTTGTGAGTTCCAGGCCAGCCCAGGTTACATAGTGAAGCCCTGTGGCAAAACAAAACAGAAACAAAAGCAAAACCTTTTATATCAGGTTAGGGATGTAGCTCAATTGGTGGTTGCTTGTCGGGTATGCATGAGGCCCTGAATTCGATTCCCAGCACTGTTTAAACTGCGCTTGTTGGCACAAAAACTGTACTCCCAGCATTCCTTGACTACACAAGTTTAAGATCAGCCAGGACAACCGAGCCGTGGTGGCACACACCTTTAATCCCAGCCCTCGGGAGGCAGAGGCAGGTGGATCTCTGATTTTGAGGTCAGCCTGGTCTACACAGAGAAAACCGTGTCTTGAAAAGCAACAGCAACAAAACAATCAGCCTGGGCCATGTGAGATCCTGTCTGAAAGGAAGGTGAACAGGAATATACACCATAGAAACACAGCAGGGACATTTTCAGAGAGAACTGCACCCCAAGAGGAAATGGGGTACTTTTCTAACAGCTAAATTTCCTGGCCTTGTGTCCATGGGTCATTGGTGGGTAGATTTTATAGCACCATTTGTCCTTCCTGATCCTGGCCAGTTAGGGTAAAGCACCAAGGATCTGTTAGGGTTAGGTGGTGTTTAAGCCATGTCCAGTCAGGGACTAGAGAGATGGCTCACAGGTTACTAGCCCTCAATAATGCTTACAGAGGACCTGAATTTGGTTCCTAGCACCTTAGTAATTATTCATGTGTATGAGTGCTTTGCCTACATGTAAGTTTGTATACTGTGTTACATTTCTGCTATTCTTAGAAGTCAGAAGTAGTCACTGGATCCCATAGAACTGGAGTTATAGATGGTTGTGAACCACCATATGGATGGTGGGTCCTTCGCAAGAACACTCTTAACTACTGGGTCATCTTTTCTTCCCAATAAATAAAACAAATCTCAAAAAAAAGGTATCCCATACAAGCCACTGGGTCTGGCTTCAAGCAGCCAGGGTTTTATTAATAAGCAGATTCCCCCTTTTATTTTTATCCCATTTTCTCGAAAATAATGACTTCCCTGAGTTGGCTGGTCCTTTTAGGAGGGGTACTGATGTCCTCTGGACTCTGGTTGAGCAGGGAGAATGAGGGCCAAAATATTAGCCTTTTGTTATTATTTATTTATTTATTTTGAACCTTTTTAATCTTTTTTTTTTTTTTTTACTTTGACCCTTAAGCCTTGATTGTTGAACAAGGAGAAGGTCAATTCCACTATTCCTGTAATGGAAGAATTTGAACTCTGTAATTCTTTGGGTCAGGGATGCATTGGGGCCTGAGGACAGTGGTCCCTTTTAGCCCTGTTAGTTCTATACTATAGCTCTCATTTTGGAAACACTAATTTTTAGTACAAAAAGTATTCTTTTGAGCAGAATTTATAGGTTGGTGTAATTCCAGCTTTAATTAGGGGTTTATTCTAACAGGGAGCAAGGAAAGAGGTGGATGGGAGTGACTTTGGGGATAAGGTCTCTGTGTAGTCCTGACTGGTCTGGAATGAGCTATGGAGACCAGGCTGGCCTCAAATTCACAGAGAGCCTCCTGCTCTTACCTCCCTGAGTGTTGGTTGACACCATGCCTGCCTGGCCTGCTTCCAACTTTTTTTTTTTTTTTTTGGTTTTTCGAGACAGGGTTTCTCTGTGGTTTTGGAGCCTGTCCTGGAACTAGCTCTTGTAGACCAGGCTGGTCTCGAACTCACAGAGATCCTCCTGCCTCAGCCTCCCGAGTGCTGTGCTTCCAACTTTTAATTGTCTTATTGCGGATGGGTGGCTGGACCTGACTTGGGGCACAGGTTGTGAAACCCCTGTGTAACAAAACGGCATTCATGAGGGGATAATTTGGGGGTATTTGCTACTCATATTGAACTGACCCTAGGTAGAGAGGAAAGGAAAAATGGAAGTTTCTCGATGCGCTGGAGTAATTTACTCTTTCCACTGCAGTGGTATTAGCTGCTGCTTCCCTCTACCCAATGAAGCAGGAAAATGAATTTGGATTTTTTTTTTTTTTTGGATTCTCAGAAAATCTGACCCTTGGTAAGTCTCTCCCTGATCAACTTTTGCCTTCCTACTTGCCTTTGGGATCTTTTGAGCCATTTGGGGTTCTTTTGAGTCATTAGGAATTGCCTTTTGGTTGATTTTGCCTTTAGCTACTCTTCTGTTGGAGAGTATTGGATTATTACTGTAAAATAGACAATGGTGGTGAAGCAGAGAGCTCTCAAAGGCTTTGGGAACCAGGGCTGGCGAAATGGCTCCGTGGTTAAGAGCACTGCCTCTTTTCCAGAGGGCTCAGGTTCAATTCCCAACATCCACATGGTGACTCACAACTGTGACTCCAGTTCCAGGGCTTCTGACACCCTCACACAGACATACAAACATGCAGAACACCAATGACCATAAGCTAAAACTTCCTTTTTAAAAAAGGCATTGGGGGGTGATGGCGCACACCTTTAATCCCAGCACTTAAGAGGCAGGTGGATCTTTTGCGTTTGAGGCCAGCCTGATCTATACAAAGAGTTCCAGGACAGCCAAGACTGTAACACAGAGAAACCCTGTCTGGAAAAATCTAAATAAATAAATAAATATAAAAAAGCTGAGAGATGGTGGAGCATGCCTTTAATCCCAGTCAGTACTCTGGAAGCAGAAGCAAGTGAATCTCTGTGAGTTCGAGGCCAGCCTGGTCTACAAAGTGAGTTCCAGGACAGTCACGGCTACACAGAGAAACCATGTCTCAAAAAACCAAAACAACAACAACAAAAAAAAAAACCACAAACAAACAACAAAAAACAACAGTAACAAAAAGACAGGGGGAGGCATGCTTTGCCATTCCTGCCATAAGAAGCCTCAGAGCCTGGGTTTGCTGTGATCTGTGTTGAAGGGGGTCTGTCAACTCTAGGAGGGAAGTTGGCTTGTCTTCCTAGAGTGACAAGTGTCTTAAAGAGATAGGTCCATAAAGTTCTGCGGAACTATCTGGGGCATCACCATGGGAGAGGAAAGGTTGGGACTCTCTTGAACCTCTGCAGTTTGGTGCCATTTGGAATAGTTATGTCACCGTGAAGATACTGTCTTTACTTGTTTGGTGGACTAAAGAGAACGGAGCTGACTGGTCTTTTGTAAACCATTTCTAAGACAGCAGTGGGGGGCATCGGAACTTCTGAACAGGAAACCCTGGCCACTTCAGCTTTGTCTTTTCTGTTTGAAACTCATCACGTGCTAATAATCATGATGGACATGCCTCTAAGATGTTTGAATGTTTGTATGTGTAAATATATTTAGGCTCATTTTATACTACATAAGAGCAATTGCTCTGTATTTTTTTTCAAGTTAAAATCCAAGGATTCAGAAAGCTAAAAAAGAAACTCATCTCTAGACTTTACCTTGGACAAGCTTATTTAAAATTAATTAAAATGTTAATTTTTTTGTTTTGTTTTTGAGACAGATTCACTATGTAGCCCTAGCTGGCCTGGAACTTGCTGTGTAGAACAGGTTAGGCTTGAATTTAAAGAGATCCACCCAATTCTGCCTCCCAAGTACTGGCCTCAAAGGCATTTGCCATCACATCTGGCTGAAATGTTCATTTTTAGCTTCCATTGTAAAATGGTTTGGGGCGGTGCTTTTAACTGTTAATTATGGAAGTGGGTTGAGAAAAAAATCTGATTACAAAATTTAGGAAAGATAACCTAAAGATAGCTAAGCATATTTTTTGTTAAGTGTTCAAAATATCTGAACAGCATTTGCTAGACAAACTTAAAGTGTACAGTGAAAAGATTAAGTTCTGGGACCTGTGTCCACAGATACTTCTGCCTGAGTTTGTTTCAAATGGGCACGTATTGACAATGTTGAGAGTTCTGACTTTCACTTTGAAATAATTATTAAGATAATACACTGTGTTGTAAATATGTATTTTAATATCTAAGTTACTTGCTAGGGTATGATGTAGGGATAATGACAAGGCTCAGAGGGAAGCTCCAGGACCTTTTAGTTTGGGGGGAAAAAAAGGAGCTGGGGGCAACAAAGCAGGCTTGTTTATTGTTATTGTTGTTATTAGCACCTGTGGGTAACACCTGCAGCCGCTACCAAAACAAATTGAAAGTGAGTAATTGGTAGAGGAGATGGTTGTATTGTCCTGCCTTGGGAAAATGAAGTCGAAACCGGAATGAAACAGCCCCCATTTTTGAAGTGGGAGGTGGTCTCCTGGGTTTTTATGGAGATTAGGTGGGGAAATTCTACGTTTACTTGAGTTCTTTCCTAGTCAGAGTTCCTCAAACAGCTGAGATTTGCTCTGCCTCTCCTGGAACTTCTTTAAACCTACCAAACTCTTTCGTTCTCTTAACATACTAAAGAAAGGCTCATTCAGTCTGAGTTCAAGGCCCGGTCTACAGAGTGAGTTCCAGGACAGCCAGGGCTTTTACAAAGAGAAACCCTGTCTCAAAAAATATAAAAAAAAAAAAAAAAAAAAAAAAAAAAAAACCCAAAGAATGTTTCCAAAAGTTAGCACACAGGAAAGGAAGGTTTACTTTGTTCCTCAGGAATGGTAAGCCATGAGTCAGTGGGTGAGCCTGGAGACCTCTCCTTTACAGTTATTTTTTGCCTGGAGCATGGTGGCTGCACGTGCCTTTAATTCAGGGGCAGGCGGATCCCTGTGAGTTCGAGGCCAGCCTGGTCCACAGAGTGAGTTCTAGGATGGAAAGCCAGGGCCCCTCGTTACACAAAGAAACCCAGTCTTGAAAAACTAAACAAACAAAATGCCACATGAGCTTTGTCAGAGAAAAACAAGAACAGAAGCAGCCTAAGCTCTGTTTCGTTGATGGTTCTCTCAGGTGGAGTATGCCCCTGATTGATTAAGGTCACAGGAAACTGCTTTGGAAAAGTAAAGAAATGGGGTACCTGCTGTTTTTGTTTAAAGCATTTATGAGCGAGAGCGAGCCCTCCAGGTGAACAAAGACAAACATAGCCTAATAATCTAGTTCAAATCTAACATAAGCTTTCTTGTAAAACCCAGTTTCTGCAAAGGCTTTCTTTTTTTAATTTTTTAATTGATTTTATTGAACTATACATTTTTTTCCTCTCCCCTCCCTTCTACCCTCTCCTAAGGTCCCCATGCTCCCAATTTACTCAGGAGATCTCGTGTTTTTCTACTTCCCATGTAGATTAGATCCATGTATGTCTCTCTTAGTGTCCTCATTGTTGTCTAGGTTCTCTGGGATTGTGGTTTGTAGGCTGGTTTTCTTTTATGTCTAAAAGCCACCTATGAGTGAGTACATGTGATAATTGTCTTTCAGGGTCTGGGTTACCTCACTCAACGTGATGTTTTCTAGCTCCATCCATTTGCCTGCAAAATTCAAGATGTCGTTATTTTTTTTCTGCTGTGTAGTACTCCATTGTGTGAATGTACCACATTTTCCGTATCCATTTTTTGGTCGAGGGGCATTTAGGTTGTTTCCAGGTTCTGGCTATGACAAACAATGCAGCTATGAACATAGTTGAGCACATGTCCTTGTGGCACAATTGAGCATCCTTTGGATATATACCCAAGAGTGGTATTGCTGGGTCTTGAGGAAAGTTGTTTCCTAATTTTCTGAGAAATTGCCTTTAAAAATGGGGTACAGACCTAAACAAGAGAACTCTCAACAGAGGAAGTTAAAATGGCTGAAAGACACTTAAGGAAATGTTCAACATCCTTAGCCATCAGAGAAATGCAAATCAAAACAACTCTGAGATTCTGCAAAGGCTTTCTTTCTTTTCTTTTTTTTTGTTTGTTTTTTCGAGACAGGGTTTCTCTGTAGCTTTGGAGCCTGTCTCTGGAACTTGCTCTGTAGATCAGGCTGGTCTCGAACTCACAGAGATCCGCATGCCTCTGCCTCCCGAGTGCTAGGATTAAAGGCGTGCGCCACCACCGCCCGGCTCTGCAAAGGTTTTCTATGCCTTCCACTGTCATCTTTAGCTCACTCTTCTCTAAGACTAGCTAACTCTCAGAGTTTTGATGAGTTAATTGCTTTGAAAATGTCACCGTGTCTGTGTTTCCCGTTCTCATCTCAGTGGGTGTGTGACTTCGGAGACAACAGGCAAGCAATTTTGAAACCTTTCTTTTTTTTCAAACTGTGTAAACTTTGTCTAGTTATTATTATTAAAAGGACAGCTCCTGGGGCTGGAGAGATGGCTCAGAAGTTAAGAACACTGGCTGCTTTTCCAGAGGACCCAGGACCCACCTGGCAGCTCACAACTGCCTATAACTTCAGTTCCAGGGGATCCAACACCCTCACACAGACATACATGCAGGCGAAACACCAATGCACATAAAATAAAAATAAGTAACTTTTTTAAAAAAGGACAGCTCCTTTAACTTTGGTTGCTTAGCTCCTAATGTGCAGTAGATAGATGAGGGTTCTGTTTTTACAGAAGTCTTTGCTTTGTGTGGCATTTGTCACTAGAGACCATATGCCATGTATTCCATGCAAGGCAGCCTGCCACCTTCTAACAGGAATTGTTTTGTTCTATGTGGTGAATCTAAGACAAGGTTTTATGTTTTGTTAAAAACAAAAGCATTGTTTTCTGTTTTCTGTTTGTGTTTCAAACAGTTGGCTGCTTAGGAAATTGTCTTAAAGGCCACCTCCCTTTAGGGATCAGTTTGTGTCATGGTCTTCAGATGATGCCTGTGAGCTGACTGTTTGAACACCTGTTTTGAGTTGACTTTAGTGCGTTTAATACGCTGTGTATCCGACTGGAAACATGGAGATGTTAGCTAACCGTTACATCCTATACGCAGTAACCAGCAAGTGCGCTTACTCAGCACAATGCCTTTGTAGCAGCCAGCTGTGACTGAAGAGAGGGCAACAGGGCAGAACCAGTCAAAGCCAGCCTGAGCAATGGGCACTGGGGATGAAAAGATGCAAGAAGCTACATGATAGCACCTGGGTGAGAAAGAGAGCCAACTCAATGAGATTGTGGATTCTGGAGCACTAACAAGGAAAACCCTCCCATCGGCACAGCTGGACCGAACTTTGCCCCTTTAAATGAGCAACTAATACTGTTTGTTTTACTAAACAAAAGACATTTAAATATTGCTTTAGAAGTAACATCTAGCCAGGCAATGGTGACACAGGCCTTTAATTACAGCATTTGGAAGGCAGAGGCCATTGGATCTCTGAGTTCAAGGCCAGCCTGGTCTACAGAGTAAGTTCCGGACAGTCAGGGCTACTCAGGAAAATCTGTCATGAAAAAAAAACAAAAGGAAAAGCAACATATATATTTTTCTGTACCATGATGCTAACTGTTGCTGCTCCTTTTACATGTAGATGCCTCTTAAACTCTGCCAGCCTTCTAAAGATTGGCAGACGTTAGGTATTTGTAAATTTGTACATGATTTGATTGCTTAATTTTCAAAGTAGCTTTACTATTGTTGATTATGTTTTTTTTTTTTAAATCATGTCAGGTGGTGGTGGCACACGCTTTTTAATCCCAGCACTCGGGAGGCAGAGGCTGGAGGATCTCTGTGAATTTGAGGCCAGCCTGGCTACAGAGTGAGTTCCAGAACAGGCTCCAAAGCTACCGAGAAACCCTGTCTCGAAAAGCAAAACAAACAAACAAATACATACATAAGAATCATTTCTTGGGGCTGGAGAGATGGCTCAGAGGTTAAGAGCACTGATTGTTCTTCCAGAGGTCCTGAGTTTAATTCCCAGCAACCACATGGTGGCTCACAACCATCTGTAATGAGATCTGGTGCCTTCTTCTGGCCTGCAGGCACACATGCAGACAGAACACTGTGAACAAAATAAATAAATAAATCTTTAAAAAAAAAAGAATCATTTCTTTTTTGTTTTGCCTGCATGTATGTCTGTGCACCACATTCATCCAGGTGCCCACGGAAATCAGAAGAGGGCATTGGATGCCTTGGGACTGGAGTTACAGACAGGTGTGACCTGAATGTGGGTGCTGGAAACTGCACCTCGGTTCTCTTAACCACTTGAGCTGGCTGTCTAGCCCCTGGGCAGTTTTTTGTAAAGCGTTTTAGTGAAGTGTTGTGGATTGCCTGATGTGTTTTGTACAGCTTGATAACTGACCTGTCTGCTAACATTCTCCAGAAGTATGGCTTCCGACAAATGAACCTGAACATTTGTGAGGTGCTAGAACATTAGCCACAGGACAAGTAGAATAGTTTCCAGGTAGGCCTGATCAAAGAGCCATTCCTTTGCCACCTCAATTGTTCAATTTAGGCCTGAGGGGTTTGTTAGCACTAGCTTCTTAATATCTGTCATTTACCACCCCAAGGCAGAGCAAATTGGACCAATCAGGGTGAATCTTGCCCTAGCATCGTGGGCGATGGAGAGCAAAACCACCAGATGGTCAATTAACAATGTCTTCAGAAAATGTTTGTTCAGAGATGGGGGTGGGGAGGTTGTCAGGCCTGAATAAAGTCAAGGTAGGCATGGTAGCACTTGCCTGTAATCCCAGCAACTGGGAAACCCAAATATTGAGGATCGCAAGTTTGAGGCCAACGTAGGCCTCCTGATGAGAGCCTATCTCAAACCAATGAGATGGAGTTCGCTGTGTCAGCCCTTCCAAAAGTAACTAAAAGCCAGGAAAAATGATTCTTTTGTTTGTTTTTTTCAAGACAAGGTTTCTCTGTGGCCTTGGCTGTCCGGAAACTCCCTTTGTAGACCAGACAAAACTTGAACTCTGCCTCTCAAGTGCTGGGCTTAAAGGTGTAGGCCACCACAGTAAGAGAAAAATGATTCCTATGTGTGGTCCCTGACACTAACCTTCATCCCTACTGTCACTTTATTTGTCACCTTGTTTTAGACATAGATACGTGCCACCTCAAGACAGTGGTATTAAACAGAAAGTAGGGCACTGGGACCAGTCTGGAAGTAATGAAGATATTCTAAAGAGACCCTTGCATTGAGATCTTTGTCCCTCTTCCCTGTGTGGCCTTATTGACTAAATCACCTGCTTTTCACTTTTAATTTGGCTCTTTTAATTAGCTTAGCGAGGACAAGAAGACCAGACCTGGGTTGGGGCACAAGTTATGACCCCCAAGTTCGATAACAAATCTAGGGCCTTGTACATGCCAGTCAAGTGATCTACCGACTGAGCTATATATCCCAAGCCCAAGCCTTCTTATATTTTATTTTGATTTCCTTTTATTTAATGACAAGAACTCACCATGTGATCCAAGCTGGCCTGGAACTTGTTTATTTACTTTTTAAGAGAGGGCCATACATTGCAGCCTAGCCCAAGAGTGGCATGAACCTCACTGTATAACCTACGCTAGCCTCCAACTTGTGGTGATCCTTCTGTCTCAGCCTCAGGGGATGCTAGAATAATAGCCTCTACCTCCAAGTATGTCATCATGCCCCATTCAGATCTTTTTCTTCGTCCATTTGGACAGTTCTGTCACTTCAAAGCTGGCCCACATCTGGCTGCTGAAGAATCAGGAGTTCAAAGCCAACCTTGGTTATGTTGTAAGGAGTCTTTCTCTGTCCCACCAGCCAGCTTCCAAATAATGACATGAAGATTTCTTATTAATTATGAAAGTCTGGCCTTTGCTTAGGCTTGTTTCTAACTAGCTTTTTTTTTCTTTCTTTTTTTTTTTTTTTTTTGGTTTTTCGAGACAGGGTTTTATCTGTAGCTTTGGAGCCTGTCCTGGAACTAGCTCTTGTAGACCAGGCTGGTCTCGAACTCACAGAGATCCACCTGCTTCTGCCTCCCAAGTGCTGGGATTAAAGGTGTGTGCCACCACCGCCGGCCTGACTAGCTCTTATAACTTAAATTAACCCATTTCTATTAATATGCATGATGCTTTTACCTCTCCTCTTGCATGTCCTGCTTCCTCTATATCCAGCTGGTGACTCCTCCTTTCTTCTTCCCAGAGCTCTCTCTGTCCGGAAGTCCCACCTATACCCTATACTCTCCTGCCTAACTATTGACCAATATCTCTTTATTACACCAATCAGAGCAATACATCTTCACACAGTGTACAAATACCCCACAACACCAAGTAGTGAATTTTAATCTAGCATGATCTACATAGCAAGTTCTAGGCCAGCCAATATGTAGCATAACCCTGTCTCACAAAACGAAACAGGGGACTAGAGAGATGGCTTAGCTGTCAAGAGCATGTACTGATCTTACAGACGATCTGAATTTGGTTCCCAGCAACCATGTCAGGCAGCTCACAATGGCCTGTAAGTCCAGCTCCAGAGGGATCAGGCTTCCAAGGCACTTACCTGCACTCATGTGCACACATCCCTACACAGGCACAGAAATGCAAAATAAAATGAAACAAGCAAACAATTCTGAATTTTACTATATCTACAGCAGAAATGCCAGATACTTTAGTAAGCACTTTATGTGTTTAAGGTTTTGACACAATGCATACTGTATAAAGCAGAATATTATTGGTTGTTTTGTTATGTATTAACTTTACATACATTTAACATGCAAACTTTTGTTTAGCATTTATAAAAACTTAGACACATATCTTTTTTTGCCTCAAGATGTGTGTGTGTGTGTTTAGCAACAGATATGTAGAACTTCAAATATACTAGAGCACCATAAATTGTTTCTTACTATCTATAGTTGTAAAGGAATCAATTTCAAAACTTTAAAACAATTGTATAGTTAAATAATAGATGTTTTATTGTGGTTTTATTTAGTTTTAATTAATTAAATTTTTGGAGTCAGGGTCTCTCTTTGTAGTCCTGACTGTACAATAATAATAGTAATAGTAATAGTAATAGTAATAGTAATAGTAATAGTAATAGTAAAATGGGCCAGGCAGTGGTGGAAGGTACACAATATTGGATCAGGCTGAGTTTATTGATAATGGGCCCAATGAATGGAGATTCTAGATCTAATATTGAAGCTCGCTCAGTTAAAAAAGAAAGAGCGAGTTGTGTGGTAGTAGTGTACAACTTCAATCCCAGCACTTGGGAGGCACAGGCAGGCAGATCTCTGTGAGTTCGAGACCAGCCTGGTCTACAGAGTGAGTACCAGAACAGCCAGGGCTACACAGAGAAACCCTGTCTCAAAACAACAACAACAACATAAAAAGGAAAGCATTGAATATTGTAACTTAAAAACATCTAAGAAATTGACCAGTGGGGATGGCTCAGCAAGTAAAAACCTTTGCCCTACAAGACTGACAACATGAGTTCTGTCCCCCAAGATCACATAGAAGTACACACATGTGATACATACACATACAACAGAAATAGTAAATTATAAAGAAAGCATGTAATAGGTATAGAAACAGGAACATATGTTAACAATTTAGAGACTTGTTTTATTTTTACCTTACAAAAAATCTGAAATTAAATAATTTATCAATTTTATTTAAACCAGGCTTGGTGGCTCATGTCTGTAACCCCAGTAACTGACAGACTAAGGCAGGATTTTCATGAGTTCCAAGCCAGTAAGAGCTATAGAATGAGACCCTGTCTCTAAAAGGCCAATTTTTTTAACTTAAATATTGCAAACTAAAGGACAGGTGAGTGTAGCGGTGCACTCCTGCAATCCCAGCACTTGGGAAGTAGAGGCAAGAGGATCAGGAGTTTGGGCTTAAGAACCACACACTACAAAAATCATATTTAAAGGAAAATAAAATTTGGAAGGATGTTATGGTATAAGCATCATATAAAAGGCTAGGAGGTGGACTAGTGGGTAAGAATCCTTGCTGTGCAAGTATGAAGCCCTGAATTCAAATACCCACACCCACATTAAAAGCTGTGCACGGCTGTGCATGGCTGTGCTCGAATGTACATGGCTGTACTCGAATGTACATGGCTGTGCACGGATGTACATGGCTGTGCACGGATGTACATGGCTGTGCACGGATGTACATGGCTGTGCACGATGTACATGGATGTAACATGACTGTGCATAGCTGTGCACAGATGTACATGGATGTAACATGACTGTGCATGGATGTACATGAATATGCATGGCTGTAATCTCAGCTTTGGGAAGATTTAAAAAAAAACAAGTGGATCTTGGGAGCTTGCTGGATTAACCAGCCAAGCCAGAAATGTAAGGGACTATGTCTCAAGGCAATAAGGTACAACCAATGTCTTCCTGCAGCATCTACATTTGTGCATACGGACTCATGTATCTGTGTGCTCGCATGTATATACCATGCACATATAGTACACAAACACACATTAAAAACAATTTTAAAAAACTACCATATAACATGAATTACCCGAAGGTACTTACCCAAAGGTAAATTTACAGATTAAGATTGTAAAGTTTATGTAAATTCTGGTGAAGCAGCTGCACCTCCTAGCAGATTGGCTTTAAAATGGCCTGCTTTTACCCTTAAATAGTGTTAACTTGGCATAGCTGGGATAACAACTGTGAGTAAATGGGGTTTTTGTTTGCTTTTTTGTTTTTATTTTTTTTAACAAAAGGGGAAAAAGACAATTCCAGAGGGATAAAAGAAAGCCTCTATATTAATCCCCTGTTTATAAGAATTATCTTTTTTCATGTCATGTCTAAGATAACCAAGGCTCTTTATATGTGATGTCAGCTTCAATTCCTGGAGCTGTGTGATGCTCCGGCCCCATTATCCCACTGCAGAATCATCTCTCCATGAGGCCGCAAGGGGCCTTTGGTTCAGGTTGCCATGCGGTTGCACCTGACTGGAAAGGTCAGGGCATTCCCATTGCTAATAAACCCTTGTGCGACAAAAGGTGCAGTGACTCGGGCTGCACAGCCCGTCGGCAATTCCTAAGCTCTAGTGAAGGCTTTTGCTGGGATAACTTAG